GGGTGTCCCCGGGGCCGGCCCCGCTCCGGTCCCGCAGCGAGGAGTGTTTCTGCTCGGCCGGAGGGAGGGAGCCGTCACGATGTGTTTTTCCCTCTGTGCAGTGTCAGCAGCCTTTGAGGGAGGGCAGGAAATGGATCCCAGCTTTCTTGTCCCGTTTGGTGTTTTTCTGCCCTTTAACCAGCTCTGTTGTCACAGGGCTGTAGGATAATTCACGGAGGAAGGGACCTGGTCCGGCCGTCTTTCCTCTCTTCTTCCCTGTGCTGCTGTTCATCCTCTTTCTATGCTGAAGCCTAGGACACAGTGGGATTGCGTGATTAAGGCACTCTGCTCCCTGCAGCAGAGAGGACCCAGTGACACGGCTAGCACCAGGCTGCCTCTGAGCAGCCTGACTGAGCAAGTTCCTTTTGCAGCTGGGTTTCCAGTGTCCTGCCTTCAGTATCAGTCCAGAACAAGGCTCAAACTCTGTGTCTGGGTACATATCCAACTTCTAAATCACTGCTTCTCAAAAGTTTCCCCTGATGATGATTTTTTTTTTCCCGGGGTGATTGTCCCTGTTCCCTCTCAGATTTCCAGGCTTGCAGACGCACAGAGCATCACGCTGTCCACACTCTTTGAGCAATTCTGTTGCCAGGTTCTTTCCTCTTCTGAAGTCCCCCATTTTTAATGCTTCTCTTGTCCTGTTCATCTTTTGGGAATGTCTTTGTCCTTATTCTTGGCTTTGACAAGAGGTTGCTGAGGATCTGGCAGAATAGTAAAGACTGGAGTTACATCCAGAATGGATCGTATACAGGGAGAGGCTTTACATCGTGCTGGTGTGATAGGGGCTCGAGATCAGCTGTGTGGAGCATGAGTAACCCATGCAAAAACTGTACGTCTTTCTGACTGAGGAAGGTGTGCAGAGATTGCCCAAAGTGAAAAAGGGAAGGGGCAGGGTGCCCAAGGAGGGGTTAGAGGGCAGCCCGCTGCTCCTGGCACCTCTCCCTTGGACTCCAGTTGTGCCCTGCAGGGCTAGGAAAGGGAAAGTGGGATCTCTGTGGCACTTTCAGAGTTCTTCTGTATCCATTTAGCTATTTGTGTTTAGCTATTTGTGTTTTCACATCATTAACCCTATGTATGTGTGATACATGACAGCTTCGAATTCTAAATATTACCTATATTTAAACAGTTACATGGTTAAATATAACGGTGAGAGCTCCAGTTTCTGTTCTGTTAGTTCCAGACCTCTGTGTAATTTTTTCCACTTACCTGTATGGGCATCTCTCTGTAGGGTAATGGAAATGGTTGAAGAATCACAATGCAGTTGGTTTGTGTTGCCCCTGGCAAAGAGGGATCCAGTCTGGATGGCCACATTTGGTTATCGCTGTCTCAGATTCAGCCACGGTGCCTGCAGGGGACGTTGCAGTCACACAGTGCATCAGCTCTCACAGCTCTCTTGTGGTGACAGAGAAGTGTTATTAGCCCAGCTTCTTCAGTAGATAGCGAGGGGTTTAAAAGGCCAGGCACAGCAATTTGTTTAGGGGATAAAGTATTCAGTAGGATTTTTCCAGACTGTAAAAGCGGGTTAGGGATCTTTTTCTTCAGGGAACCCAGTGAAGAGTTCACCACTGCTTGTAATATTTCAGGAGCCCTCCTGTAGGTTTGTTATCTGCTTGGGTGTCAGATCAGAGTTCCATGGCCATCTGCTGAGAGTTTCTGTAGCTCATGATCAGACTGCATGAATTCTTGGCTTAGGACCCTTCTTGTGGTCTGTAATGGAGCATAGACTTAAGACCACATCCAGAGTAGTGTCCTGATCCCTCTGTCAACACAGATCTTCCTGTGGTAAGGGACAGGGCTTTAAAAACCCAAATCACAGTAAGTCGTAGTAGTGTGCTGTGAAAGTCTGAAGATACCGTGGAGCACACACTCCTGCAATGTCTGTGGAGCTTCAGAGACCTCCACAGGTCCCTCCCAGTCTAAGTTATTTCACAATTTTCAGAAAAGGGTGGATGGGTGGGAAGTACCCGTGATTATGAACTACTCATTTAAGCAGGAAACTGAGATGTGATCATCTGCTAAGATCTCCCTTTTGCTTTCTGTTTGGCAGGGCCCTGTGTGACTCAGTGCTGGCCATGAGGAGCAACGCAGGACATTTGCTGCTGGAAACAAGAGAAAAATCTGCTCAGCTCTGAAGTACCTCTGAAGGTACTGAGCGGGAACTAGGAGATACAAATGGGGAAAAAGAAGTGGCACAGCTCAAGAAAGCTTGTGGGAGGAAAAAGAACTGTGAGGTGGAGATGAGGAGATATCCATTCTTCTGACTTTGTAGGTGTTAGGTATTGGTGTCACCTCTCCCTTTCTCGCTGCTTTCTTTGGAAGACCTACAGTATGGAGAAAGGCTGAGAAAACTGGGTCTGTTCAGCCTTGGGAAGAGAAGGCTCAGGGGGGACCTTGTCACCATGGACCAGAACATAAAGGGTGGCACCAAGAAGATGGAGACTCCCTTTCCACAAGGAGTCCCATGGAAAAGACAAGGGGCAGTGGACACAAGTTGCTTCTGGAGAGATTCCCACTGAACTCCAGAAGAAATTTGCTCCCCATGAGATCAGTCAGACACTGAACAATCTCCAGGGGAAGCAGTGAATTCCCCTACGTTGGTCGTTTGAAGAGTCAGCTCGACAGGGGCTGACTCACCTCATGTAAACGATGCTTTTACCTGGAGAGGTTGGACTGGATGAACCTTGTGGTGCCTTCCAACCTGGGGTTCTATGGTTCTATGGTTCTTTCTCCTATCAGCTACATGTGTGTAAGTGATTTCCCAGCCACAGCTGACCTGTCTGTAGAGTGAGACACAAGTGC